ATGATGATGATGATGATGATGATGATGATGATGATGATGATGATGATGATGATGATGATGATGATGATGATGATGATGATGATGATATTGTGCGGACATTTTACTACAAACACAAAACCGTCAGCAATCTACCGTCCTTTGTCAATGCAGACGACCCATTATTTGGATCCAATATGTCAAAGGAATTCGGCAGTAACCTGTCAGTATGTTACACATTTCATGTACGAAATTTTATCACTTATCTGTAGACTAGACTTTGCTTGGTGCTACTGCTCAGTAAGTTGAAATTCCTGAATTACTACCACTGGACACATAATACGAGTGGATAAATTATAGCAACCCCGAATTTCTGCTCACTACTTAAAGGTAGCTGCTTTTCCTAAGTCGTTCATCATGTAAATCAGAGTAACGCCGGCATTTCTGCAGTGACAAATGACATATCTAAACCACTATAAGACTATGCTATCAAAAAGAATAGTAAAAAAGTGACCGGGTGAAATCTACACAAATTCTATACATCTCTGAGGAAACCGGCCGTTGGTAAGGTATGGAATAAAGCCCGTAATCCCATCTGAAATCCTCTTGAGTTGTCTTAAGTTCTTTCCGAAAATGTGTCGAGATAGTATTTCGAAAGTTTCGACATACAGTCAATAAAGTTTTATGATATGGATACTAACCGACATTTAGGCATCCTCATTAGTTTATCATACCTTGAGTAACAGAAATGAAATACACCTGGAAGATCAATAACGGCATTCAATCCCCTCAGTACAGTATAAACCTTGGATCCGAAGGGCTCGGTACTCGCTGGATTATACGATGAAATTTTCAATGCGCCTCCATTTTTTATAGTTTTCGGTTGATTATCTGGATACTTAAACCGGCGCTATCAACTGACACGCATAATGTATCAGCATGGTCTGTGGCTAGAGAGGCACAGTGGCTACTGAGTGAGCTGCCTAGATGAGTAAAACTTTAGTGCTTTGATAGACAATCCAGCAAGCGGAAAAGTTCTCCGGGTCGGTGAGTGTGCTTAGTCACAACAATGAATATAAGCCAATGACGAACGGCTACTTACCCTAACTACGAATTATTGCTGCTAGTCGCAAGGCCTAAAGTACTAAGTTTAAACAGTTGTCCAGGAGCTCCGTTGATGACGATTTATTCAGTAAGGACGCCTTTTTACAGCAACTCGGCAGTAGCAGGAATAAAACTTTCAGCTTTTCGTTCGGGATGCTTTTGATGGCAAAGCCACTTGAATTGTATTATTTTGGCCTGCCTTTGGATGCAAGACACGTCCGACCATCCTACAAGTCCCTTCCAAACTTTTCCTTAACTAGACTGTGCTGACTAAAATAGGTATGGACGGTCGTGGAGAGGATCAAGCAGTGGCTACCGCGCAATATGATACCGGTCACAACAGCAGCTGATTTCTATCCCAAGATAAACCATCAGAAGACTGAGAAAAGTGACTTCCATGGAGCGGCTTAATGACTTGAAGTGCCGAAATTCACCATACACAATATACTGTTACCCCCAAGCAGGCTAAACTATGTGCAGACTTTGTAAACCACAGGTCCTTGCCACCAGAATACCTATCGATGCACTCGGTTCTGGAAAGCCGGTTTGACCCACTGACCCATACGGAACATATCAGAAAATTATGAAAACCATGGTGCATTTCTTTAGAAGCTAAGCTAACAGCATTACTTGTTTGAGTCCTATGGCTACAATTCAGGGCATTGGATGATGATGGTGATGATGAGGATGATGATGATGATGATGATGATATTGTGCGGACATTTTACTACAAACACAAAACCGTCAGCAATCTACCGTCCTTTGTCAATGCAGACGACCCATTATTCGGATCCAATATGTCAAAGGAATTCGGCAGTAACCTGTCAGTATGTTACACATTTCATGTACGAAATTTTATCACTTATCTGAAGACTAGACTTTGCTTGGTGCTACTGCTCAGTAAGTTGAAATTCCTGAATTACTACCACTGGACACATAATACGATGGGATAAATTATAGCAACCCCGAATTTCTGCTCACTACTTAAAGGTAGCTGCTTTTCCTAAGTCGTTCATCATGTAAATCAAGTAACGCCGGGCATTTCTGCAGTGACAAATGACATATCTAAACCACTGTAAGACTATGCTATCAAAAAGAATAGTAAAAAAGTGACCGGGTGAAATCTACACAAATTCTATACATCTCTGAGGAAACCGGCCGTTGGTAAGGTATGGAATAAAGCCCGTAATCCCATCTGAAATCCTCTTGAGTTGTCTTAAGTTCTTTCCGAAAATGTGTCGAGATAGTATTTCGAAAGTTTCGACATACAGTCAATAAAGTTTTATGATATGTATACTAACCGACATTTAGGCATCCTCATTAGTTTATCATACCTTGAGTAACAGAAATGAAATACACCTGGAAGATCAATAACGGCATTCAATCCCCTCAGTACAGTATAAACCTTGGATCCGAAGGGCTCGGTACTCGCTGGATTATACGATGAAATTTTCAATCTCCATCCATTTTTTATAGTTTTCGGTTGATTATCTGGATACTTAAACCGGCGCTATCAACTGACACGCATAATGTATCAGCATGGTGGCTAGAGCGATGAAATTTTCAATGCGCCTCCATTTTTTATAGTTTTCGGTTGATTATCTGGATACTTAAACCGGCGCTATCAACTGACACGCATAATGTATCAGCATGGTCTGTGGCTAGAGAGGCACAGTGGCTACTGAGTGAGCTGCCTAGATGAGTAAAACTTTAGTGCTTTGATAGACAATCCAGCAAGCGGAAAAGTTCTCCGGGTCGGTGAGTGTGCTTAGTCACAACAATGAATATAAGCCAATGACGAACGGCTACTTACCCTAACTACGAATTATTGCTGCTAGTCGCAAGGCCTAAAGTACTAAGTTTAAACAGTTGTCCAGGAGCTCCGTTGATGACGATTTATTCAGTAAGGACGCCTTTTTACAGCAACTCGGCAGTAGCAGGAATAAAACTTTCAGCTTTTCGTTCGGGATGCTTTTGGTCGCAAAGCCACTTGAATTGTGTTATTTTGGCCCGCCTTCAGATGCAAGACATGTCCGACCATCCTACAAGTCCCTTCCAAACTATTCCTTAACTAGACTGTACTGACTAAAATAGGTATGGACGGTCGTGGAGAGGATCAAGCAGTGGCTACCGCGCAATATGATACCGGTCACAACAGCAGCTGATTTCTATCCCAAGATAAACCATCAGAAGACTGAGAAAAGTGACTTCCATGGAGCGGCTTAATGACTTGAAGTGCCGAAATTCACCATACACAATATACTGTTACCCCCAAGCAGGCTAAACTATGTGCAGACTTTGTAAACCACAGGTCCTTGCCACCAGAATACCTATCGATGCACTCGGTTCTGGAAAGCCGGTTTGACCCACTGACCCATACGGAACATATCAGAAAATTATGAAAACCATGGTGCATTTCTTTAGAAGCTAAGCTAACAGCATTACTTGTTTGAGTCCTATGGCTACAATTCAGGGCATTTGCCCTGCAATCGCTGGTCCCTACACCTCATATGGGGGCGTCTGTTGCTTTTATTACACACTACTGTTTATTTCGACAGTAGTCCATTTTAAGGACAACTTATGTGGTGAACCAGACCGGATACCGTTCTTTTTATTCAGGAGCAGTGCTGAATACAACATCTAATAACGATTATTCCCGGTTATATGTAGCCAGTTTGACCCAGGTAATGGAGTGACTGAATATAAAAACGAATCACAGTTACCAACATTGCAGTTTTCCCTGTTCAGTCACATTCGTTGGAATTTGTATCGACAGAAGCGTCAAATCCATAAACATGATGCTTCGGAGCGTTACCTTAGAAAATACTTTAAAACCTCACCGCGACATGTCCGGTTAGGTGAATATGACTCTTCGGATAACTAAGAGCGGCAATCCGGTCGAAGAACACATCCAGAAATGGTGTTGGGTTTTCGATGAAAATACTGAGTTGAATGTTTGGAAATTCCTGCAAGGGAAAAAGGGCATAAAGGTGGGTGAAGTCTTTAATAATAGCGGATCGTGTGAAAAGCCACTCCTTAGATAGATATGATCTTTCGTTGTTCTTGTTGTTCATCTGTCTTTAAGCTGCTACATACCCCCGCCATTCAGGCAAATGTTATGCAGGCATCCATAACCAGTTTCTCCGGCACGTATCATTCACCTTAGTTCGCCCGATGCCACTCGATGTCAATGGAGTTCCTGTTGTCCTTTTCTATCCATATTGCCTTAATGAATATCTGGAGATGTAGGCATCTCGGAATGATTGTAATAAGCTAGCATCAAGTCCTTCATTCATCTTTATTTTTTTCTTCACAATGAGACTTTCAAATAAATCAGTCGTAGAGCAGCGAAACATCATTGCTGAACGCTGATGTCATGCTATGAATGATGATGATGATGATGATGATGATGATGATGATGATGATGATGATGATGATGATGATGATGATGATGATGATGATGATATGATGATGATGATGATGATGATGATGATGATGATGATGATGATGATGATGATGATGATGATGATGATGATGATGATGATTGATGATGATGATGATGATGATGAACATTACAACATCGATGTTTTGTTCATCAAATGCATACATTTACTTTCAGTATGGCAACACAATTCCATCGCAATACGAATTGTTCTGGAAGATCACTTCTCGCCGGACATCATTTTTCATTTTTATAGTAGTGTCTTAGCTAAAACTCCCTCATCGTACCTATCCGACACTCCATTTTAGCTCCGATCAAATTATCTGACTCAGCGCCTTCTTCAAATCTTGCGGTGTTTAGGGGAAAAATGGTCTAAAGGTGATCAGTCTGAGTTGGAAACATTAAGTCAGAGTAACCATCGCAGATGTAAACTACGGCCATCTTGTTTTTCAAGTTCCAGTCATCTCCCTACGTGTATGCAACAACAGTAACCGCAACGTCGGCAAGGCTATTAACATCAGGATTGTTTCAGTATCCATTAACACTAGTGATCTGTCTCATCTTCAATCTGAAGTCTATCACGTAGAAACTTCGTGGGATGTCGTCGCATATAGTTCGATTTAAAAGGATTTGCCGTAATATCCTTCAGCTGTGGAACCCTACGGTGCCTAACTGCCATGCTTATCGAAGGCTGCTCGAGAGCTGGGGTACTTCCAAATTGCCCAAGCGTAGACAGGGGAAGTCGAGAGACAGAGGTCGGGTTCGAACCACGGACCTTCCGGTCAATAAATTCGCGTTCTAATCACTTGGGCCATCTCGCCCAACGTTACGTACAAGAGTGAAAACGCCTCTGTTTGAACCAAGTACACAATCCGGGAGCTTACTTTGAAGATATTTCCTTGTTTCTTCTAAATGCCTAATATTTACTCCGTTGAATGAAAGCAAACTTCGGGAAAGGTTTGCTGCTTTTTCGGATGGGGGCCCCGGAACTCGACTAACTAACGACCAATGACACTAGCAGAAATGGCCCAAACGTGCAGTTAGTGAGCTCGTGCATCAGAACCATCGCCTTCAATGCATAGCTACCGAATTTCCGAACATGTCATCACCTTCAAGGCTTGGCTGTGTGCCACACATTCTCCCGTTTTCCGGTGACCGGACAGTAGCAGCTAGAACCAATGTGCCTATGGTGCACGGTTTATGGCCGGTAAATTGAACTGAATCGAGAGGTTTGCAAGTGTACTTGTCCTGCACGAAACAGTGACTTACCCCTTGTTCGTCCAAGTCAAGATTTCTCTCACTGCAGTGTTGACAACCTCGAGTCGGTGTCCAACTGTGGTCCAGATAGTTTGTTAGTGAATTGAATTCAGGCTTTAAACAATAGAAATAGGTTATGTAATTACTATCCCATATGGCGCAAAAGTAGCCTGAAAGCAACTCGAAAATTGAAGACTGAACTTTCAGGACCTTACATTCATTTCGCAGACTGAACTAAAATTCCGGGCCAAAACAAGACCTTGTCCTCTTTTTTTGAAATCATATGTAGTTTGCAAGACTTGTGATCGTATATAAAGTGCAAAATTGTGATCGCGGTTCCGGTGGTCAATGACTTCGTTCAGAAAACACCGGTCGGCTCTCAAAATCTCTCTTCTGCATGAGAACATAATTCACCTCTTCCGCCCCTCATAGTAGTCGGAGAGTGAATCTCAACTGTGGTGTCGCTCACCAAATGTGATTTTTAGGTTTCCAGTCACAACTAACACAATAATAGAGGTATCCGTTCAGCACGATCAAATTCCATGCTGGCGATCTATGATATGTATGGTACAAAAACGTTACTTTAATCCAAAAACATCGGTTTTAAACTAGTTTATGTATGTTGCGAATAAATTTGTGGTGCATCAGAAGTTCCGATCCGTAGAACCAGATCAAGATAACCAAAAGTTAACTTACCGCCTTGTGCTTAAAATCAACCTAAAAGCCCATCGAGCTCTGGACCATTCTCCAAGCCAAATCAAAGAAGCAACATTGATGATAACATCATAGGTTACAATGGAAGCGATGACCCTTCTTCGTGCTCACAAAGTCCGATGCTTCATTCTCACAAATTTTGCTGACTTGCACTCTTTTCACAAAATATTCTTTTATAAACGAATCAACAGTATTTAGAATTCTGCTTTTATAGTTTTCCAACAAAGTGCCCTTTGTGCCAGTTTTGAAAGCCCACTTATTCCCACCAGTTTGCTTATTCAGACAAGTTCCATTCGCCTAGAGTTTATTTCATTTACTTCATTAGGTTACCATAAAAACCTCTGATTAGGAGAGGACAGTGGTTTCCCCCGTAAACTCACACCAGATAAGGACGCTCAGAAGGAAACAATTTTCCAACAGTTGCGCAAATTTCACGACCAAATCAGTGAGTATCCGATAGATCTTCAGTTTCTGTTCCCTCGGCAGCAAACAGTTCCTTCCCTAATCCAGGAAACATAAACAATACTTGAAGTGTTATGTTAGATGTTCGTCAAACTATGATAGGATAGGGTGTTTAGATGCCAGACTTGACTTTGTTTCACTTCACATCATTATCGCAAATAAGCAGACTGACAAGGAAATAAATCACATTCAAGTGTGCAACACATTCAGTTGAACAGTAGGATAAATGAGAGATTTGGCTGCGTTTTAGATGAGTTTCCTGGGAAAAACAAAATGATGGGCATATGAGTGTATCTGTCACATGCACTTGTACTTATGCCATTCAAAGCTCAATTGAAGCGGCTGCAGCTACCGCGTCCATTCGCACTGAAAAAGCATTATCTCACTACAATTATCTGGAAAAAAACATCTCGTAAGGTGGGGCTTTAATCCGATTGTTTCTCAGAACATTGCGATACCGGCTGAAAGCTTCTACTTTAGGACTGCATTTATCTGTGGTGCTAATGTACGATGCAGAATTACCCACAATAGCTATGTCCTTTATGTCCATCAAAGTGAACCGCATACTTTACAGACATTCGGTTATCTATTAAAAAAAAAAGCGCGTACCAACCGTTTTACAGTGCATCCATTATGTTGTACAGGTACGAATCCGAGACTGTACATAGACAGCGTCCCGCACTTTGAAGAATTTTATTGCTGTTCGTAAACCCCCTTGTCACACACATTTCTAATCGAATGGGGTAAATGCACCTGGGTAATTTACGTCTTTTTTTACCTGCCGAAACTGTCTGACCTGAATAATCCAGCCTACGTGGCACGAAATCTATCCAACGTGTCCACCCACATTCTATCGATTGCCAACGTGGCAAGGAAACGTGCAGCTGGTGCAAATGCTGCCGGTTCATCGACCGGTGGGGAAACGTAGGAATAGCACAGTGGGAAATACGCGACCTGACCGAACAGCCGACAAAACAAACGGGCCTACATTTGAAAGCAAGCGAACAACAGTAGCTTGGAAATGGGACTTCGTAAGCAGATTGCATGACCTCAACAGATAGTGCAATTACTCATCACACCGGGAGAAACAAAGCGAACCTCGAACTGATCAACATGTGTTGGAATGTTTGTTTTTGGTCCGTATTTCTCCAGCTTCGTTCGTGCTGACACGTAAAATGACCCAGTTGACTGTGAAACTTAGCCTAGTACAGTTCGGTGTAATGAATGGCATGGTTGGACACGTAAACTTTGCAATCAAAGCCAGTCTGTGCTGAAAAGCCAGGGAGCACAGTATAGCTGCCTCATCCTTATAAGAAATCATCAGTAGTGCAGGAACAATAGAATTCGCTCTATAGGGAACCAGTCAGTGCGTGTGACCACGCAACGTGGATAGCCTAACTGAAGGATGAAAGTCATTATTTCCTGCTTAAGAGCCAGTTGATCACCCTACCTACCAGACGCTCTTAGCCGGGAGGTTGCATGTTGGAGACTCGCTGGGGTTTCGTGAAATACGCACTGCTGACGATTCCCAATAAGGTGAAAAACAGCTATCCGGTGATTCTTGGCTTTTTAGTATACACTGGCTCCACTTTGAGGACGAAATCTCCGTCACAAATGAACCACTTATCTTTGTTAGGTCGGCCGTAAGATGTTTTTCGGACAGGTGAATGAGACAGTGGCCTATTGCTTGTCTTTTATTACCGAATGATATGGTTCACTCATACAGAAGACTTGTTGTCTTGTTCAAGGCTTCAAGGGCCGGTACAGCATACTTCGACTAACAATAATAATCAGGATTGGTCTATTTTTGGAAACACGGTTAATTTCTGGTTTGTAAAATACGGTGTACATGTATGGAAAGACGTGCAACTGTGCATGGTAGGAGAGAGATCAATGTACTACCTTTGAACGGGAAAAATGAGGCTACTCAGTTTGACCAACCTTGATGGGACCATTCCCATGGGCCACTATTGGTCTCGTTCCGGTTTTCGTATTCACCAGGTATCCAGTGTCGTTAGTAAAGTGTAGTTCTACGTCCTCTGGAAGTAAAAAACGGTTTGTAAATCATAATTTTCGGATGTGTGCCACCATTCGTAAAGACAATACGCAACACATGGACACAACAACCAGGTGCATTGTCAATATCAAAATACTGGAAGCAAGAAAACTGTATAAAATGTAAGCTTACCAAATATCCTAGTGCTATCAAAAGAATGCAGAAAAATAGATGCATTTCACTGATGTCATCAAAATTCAGTTGTGAATGAACTACCGTGTTTTTCGATTCTCATTAAATAAGAAGCAGCGCATGATTTTGTATTTCACTATAACTCTCAATCCGAGTTTTCTCAAGCAATACTCTTTCAAAATGGTATATTTCTATCGTAGGAATGATAGAACAATCAAATCATATCCTTCACTGTCGTAATAATAAAAATACTGTTTTATGTTTCTACCACTGTTGAAGATAGATTCTGTGGCATTGCTACACAGCGTATACCCTTATGTCCCAGATTTCTTTAATGACGATCACAACTACGCAGTATGGCTATCAGAAGTAAATTCAGTCAAATCAGAGGAGTGAACTTATATGGCGAGATGAGCACTGAGCTAATCGCTTTTCTTTGATCACAGACTCACATAGTTCCATAGTTATTGGTGTGCAAACACAAGCAATTTACGAACCAATGCTTGACAGTTGGCGGTTTTCAAAAGAAACGACACAGTTCAGACTTGAACCCAGGTATTTCTTCTCAAAATTCCTTACAAAACAAAGGAGAGTGGTTGGTAGAGGAATAACTCACGGAGTGCGCCATTCAAGTTTTGGAAAATCGATGACCTAGTGTCCAAACCAATGTTCAGTTCCCTCTGAAAATAATTAGATAGGAAGGAGGATACTACTGAGTTTACCAAACCGACCCTGAGTAGTAAGGCTTCATACACATGGAAAATAAAACGCGGCGACTGGCGCATATGTGGAAGCAAGCGCCAATAAGTGCTCAATCATAATAAATTACAAAAGAGTTTATTTAATAAAGTGCTTTATATCTACTTTGAGGACAAACACGAACAAGTTTGATTGCCACTGTTTCACAAATAAAACCTTGAAAGCGTAATTTTGTGCAAAATCCTCGGCCAGTGTGAATCAGCTGCCAACTACAGCATCTTCTCCGGTTCTGCAAAATGTTCCCTACCCAAAAGTGATTTCATTGTTCCAGGGTTCCCACTAAAGTAGAAGTGCTCTTTCCATCAGTTCCTCTCGCTACTTTCCATTATTCAGCTATACCAGTAAGCATTACAGAACAAAACCATAAGCCATTCAGACGAACATCAGATACGTAGAACTGCACCGTTTCATCAGTTCGATAAAACCTGGGAGTTGAGAAACTATAGCACGCAAGCCACATGTAAAAGCGGTGAAGTCGGTGTTGCTTACGTTCGACCGAACTGAAGTGTCCAAGGAGAATTTTATGAAACGTAGTATAAACTGAAATCCGTAAAAGAGTCTCCTTACAAAGGCCAAATAAGGGAGGATCCAGTTGGGGAGACTCCTATTGAAATCCCTAAGTTAAGTGAGAACAAGATAAGCACCAAACCTCAGATGGGCCGCAGTAGTGTTCATTTCTTTCTAATTAGTTTTTATGAAAAACCAACTCATCATGTTAATCAAAGTTCAAGTCGGAGAACATCCAGAAGTTGAGAATTGATTGAAGGAAACTCTAACAAAAGACTGAAAATAACTCTGGTAGGTCACTACAGCCTTCATAGACGTGCACACCCAACAACCAGAGACTGAATCTAGTCAGCCTTTCTACGTGTAAAGAACTGCAGTAGCGTCACACAATACGAAACAAATTTAGAGCTTTTAATCTGCTGTGCAACGTATTTGGCTGTAACACAAATGCGTAAATGAATATGGGGAAATTCGACGGGCTGCACTTGAATAATGTGTCTTTCTGGACGGATTCTCAGTACACCAGGATGGCCTGTCAAACTTTCACATTCCAAATCCTAACGAGACGTAATAAATTAGCTCTGGGTGATAGGTGGGCAACCCTGAAAGGGGCTTCTTCGGCCAAAAAGTGCATTTTTGCCTCACTGTAAGAATTTCCTGCGATTATAACAGCATAATTATTGAAAAAGTCTCAATATTAAGTATCGTAATCGATCAGCTGTAACACTTTTTGTGCCTGGCTGCCACACCACCCGAAGGAAGCCTGAAGGCTGAGATATTGCCATCTACTTGGTTGAGTTCACAAGTGGAATACAAGTAAACGCGATTCGTATACATCTCAGTATAAACCTGCCCAAGAAAGTAAACTAAGGAAAAGACAAACACTTACACGAAGAGCTTCGTTCAAATAGATTTTTGTGTAGTAGAGTTGATCGTCATCGTCCTCCTTAATTGGCATCTCAGTCACCATGCGATAGAGACTGGAAGCAGGACCAACAAATCCGCCCGAATTGAGAAACCGGTTTTCTTTAGGTCCCACTGGTGGATACATTTTCTTTGTTACAAAAGGTTGAAAAGTTCTGTACTTAGAACAGGTTAACAGATATTGGTAACGCGTTGAAGTTCAATTCGAGAATGCAAATAATGCGGATACTTCAAAAAGTGCTAAAGCTTCTTGGCACACAGCAGCTCATCAGGTAACAGAGGATAGGTAACATTATTGTAATATGTGGAATTGAAAGTCAGTTTTTTCCGCATGTGACGGGTAGGTTCAAAACCCTAGAGAATTTCTAATCCGGGCTTTAGTTCAAATCCAAATTTACGAAAGGGATACGTGTAAGATATCTCCCACGTATTTCTGTGGTTTTCTAAGCCAGCCCACAGAGTATGTTTCCTAGGAGGGACATAACGTAACAAAACAATCCGTCATATAGTGAGGAAGAACATAGGAGTCTGCAAACACGAAATCCGTATTACAAGACCAATTTCAAATCAGCCATATAAACTTGCTTTTCCTCCTTCTATAGTCTTATGGTTCATAGATTGGTAAACAAAAAGATGTCGTTTCTCGTATTTTTTCTAACTAAACTAAGCCAAGTCTTTATGCTAACTTCTAGTTCACAACAAACTTATAACAACTCTTGAAAAAGAGCAACCAGAAAAAAGAATAATTCTCTAAAAATGAAATTTTATTGACGTGAACTAAGACCTTGTTGGTTTAACTGTTTAAAGCCACTGTTGATGGATTATTATTATTTATACTTTACATATTTATTGTATATAAGTATTTTATGTATTATATTATCATCAGTATTATATAATATATCATTATACATTATTATATACTATTATTGTATCTTGTTAGTATTCATTATATATTACTATGATGCTGATTCACTGCATTTTCTGTGACTCTGATTGATCTTTACGCATACTGATATGCGTGCACAACTCCGAATTAAAAAGCAAATATCAATGACATGTTGAGCGTTGAATTAGCTACCGCGAGGATCTTACGAATATGCTCAAGCACAGCGTTGTTCAGGCAAGTGTTTAAACAGGCGTACAAAAAGCCTGACAAATCTTGAGAATTAAGCAGAAACTTAATCGTAATTTTTATGAAATCATCGTCTCCATGTAATGAAGTGACTACTTTTGTGACCAACGGATAGCCAAAGTTTCCTCAGCGATTGAATCTGAAGGTTTCTAAGTTTTCTTTGCGTAAGTACTACCTAGTTTGTCCTCTCTGTACTACTTATTCCACTTTCGGTATATTTTCCGTCCGCCTTGTGTCTGGTGCAATTTAAGCCCGGTAACCAAGTGTATTGACCATTCTTCAAACTTCTGCCTACTCGTTAGACTTCTCATATCAAGCGGCATCATAGTAGTCCATTTAAATGCTTGTAAACTATACGGAAACAATTTATGGCGAAGCAAAGGCATTTTACAGCCCGAAAGTTTTATAAGCACTGTGAATTTTTACTTTAAGTACGCCAAAAACAATAGAAAATAAAATACTTTTGTTCCTTGTCAGTATTCTGGAACACAGGCTCTGGGTCAGGTAACCCCAAAATAACATCGAATACAGTGCAGCTTTATGTGAAAATCTATCCGCCATTCACAGTTTCGACGAATGTTGAAGCTTCAGTTGATATTCTTTCATGGACACTTACGGCGAACTTTATATGTGTTTCAGCAGAGTGAAGCGTTTCGCAAGGTAAACGATGGTAAAATATTCGTGGTTGGGTACGTAGAAAAGAGAGTTTTCCATCTGAGTTAAAATGTTTGCTTTGTGTACAGCAAACTGCTGCAAGGACACTAGTTTGCGTACGAAGGTGTCAAAGTTGCACGCGGCGTCCATACTCGTTTACTGATCCCGGGCTCTATTGAACCGTATATTAGTAAGCAGAGTTATTTGAAGGGCAAATAATTTTTGTTAGGTCATGAAACTTGAGTATTTGCACTTTTCAACTGTAACGGAGTTAGAAAAAACAGTTTTAAGAGAGGAAAATATCTGCCTATTTTTACCTCTAGACTTTGGTCTGGCCAGCAAAAGCTCTCCGCACCAAATAAGATGGTATAATTTGAGTTTTCATATTCTTCCAGAAGTCTGAATTTCGAGTCCATGAACACCACATCGTAGCTAGAAGAAAAAGGTAAAGTATGGTCAAATCGTCTTTAAAAATCTTGCGTTTGTCAAAAGCGACCATTTGTTGATTAACATCAAGCTGTCGGAACAAATAAATATAGTAAAATCATTTTCAAAAGTGAATAAAAGTGTGGTAGCTTCAGATGGCTTTGGTGAAACAAACCTAAACTTTTGCAGATATAACATGACAAAAGTCCAAATGCACTCAACTGACACCTGGTTCACATCCAATGGAAGCCGCTTACCGTTAAGTGAGCTATTGCTGTGCCGTTTCAAACACTCCAGTAACCTTCACGGATAGACAGTGGAAAAATTCCCAAGAATTAATCCGCTCTACTTGCTTAGCTTCCTGGCGACCCGCAGAAACTTCAAGGGACTAGATACTGTCGGGTTACCTAAGCCTAGATAAGAGTTGTCAGAATGAATGCGTTTGGTTTGATCCTCAAATATTCTGATTACTGACTTTTTGTCTTGACCATTTAGCCGTCCTCATGACTAAATAGTTTGTACAAACTAAGCAATTTCATCCAAAAGGCAGCTAGGAGACCTGCTTCAAGAAGCATTCATCAGCTCGATATCAAAACTGACAAAAGCGGAACCATAAGGTCCATGAACTCACTTTTAAAAAGGTTGCATACAATATTTCTTGTTGATTGCATCCTACTTGGAGGCTTTCATGTTTTACATATAAAGAGTTTGTTGCAATTGTCAGTAAGTGAAAAGAATCAAACTTGAACCACTGGACTGCATGCGCGAGCCAGGTGAACTAATTTCATCACCCTGAATCTTAATTAAATAAAAAGCCATTCACAACCAGTGCACAGCCAAAGCCATCGTCATTAAATCATATTGGAGCTTTCAAAATCAGCCGACATCCGATGTCCTCCCAATCAGAACTTTCAGTAGGTCAAAGAATTGCAGTAAAACTAAATTTAGCTTATACGATATTATCATTCTTCCGGTTCAAAGCATAGGACTAATCGCCTCCGAGGCCTCTCATGGCATGAATGAAAAAACCCCAAGTTGCCCATTTAAAACAACCTTAAACTCTAATGAAAGTATGAGGTTTGGTCCCTTGTCGGATAGTTTTAGAAATTTTATCTGTAATGCCAACGACAAACCATTGTCGTGAGGACATAAAGTGGTTTACCTGTTTCCAGCGGCCACTTAAAAGCATACCCTTTAAATCTCGTACGGGAAACGAGTGAGGCCTTAACAAAATATACGATATCCAGTATCGCACCCATGACTGCAAATTTTGATTCTAGCTCGCTAAAAACGGATCCCCTTGGAACAATCCTATTTGATTTCTGAGGGCCCATGTATGGGTTGCAATTTGCGAACAGGTTTTTCTGTTAGATTCTACTCAACTTTCAACTCCCACGACGATACAACATTCAAATAAGTCACGTCTGTACGGCAACGAAACATCAATGTTGAGCACTTTTGTCATACTGTACATGATAATAATGATGAGATGTGTTTTTAGCTTAAAGATACCTCAAGACCACCGAGTAATTAAAAGAATACCTCCGGCAGACCCTTTTATTCATCAAGGGATAAAATCGGGAGAAAAGTCTATTCCGAAGTAGTAAAACGCCACTAAGAGCATATATTTAACCACTTGAGGGGAAATCAGAAACACTAATAATGCTTTTGGCGGGCGGTTGGATAAGGAGGTTGTTTTAATTCTTCTGCAGACAACTGGTAGATTATTTAGCTTTTTTGTCATGCAAATCAGTGTGAAATAAACACATGAAAAATTGTTCCTAAAGCTCGCATGCTCTAAGATAAAACATATGCGTTATTTGTGCGTACAGAGAAAAGCATTTAATAAAGTATCTAATAAACTATGTGATGGTTTGTATACAACATCAAAGATTTATTGAGCAGTTGGAAGGTTGATATGTATATATATATATACTAGTCATACTGATAGCATGAACAGGATGCTGAATTTTCGATCTAGTGTGTAATGTCATATAGGCCAGGCTTTCATACTGAGCGCAAATTTTTCATATCTGCCAATTAACGAGCTGTTAGTCCTCTTATTCATTTTCATACTGATCTTTGCTAAAATATTTTGCCATTTCAAAAGCGTCAAAAAACCAAATCATTTCAGATCATTCATTTCACGTAAATCGTCAAAAATTACAATTCAAATATTATCGTTCACAAGGTTTACTTCAATAGAACTAGCCTTTCAGGGCAATATGTTTCGGGTTCACTTTGAGAAAATTGAAGTTTCTACAATTGCCAAACGTCTGGCGTCTCGTGGTCCAGTTTTTAAGATTGTTTGACAACAGCATAATTCGAAGTGGGGTTCGTGGTGTCACCTTGCGTCTAACACATAACCGCTAATGTTTCGTATCAGTGCTCTAGTTTTCATTCAATCTTGGTTGTCTTTTGATTAAAACACGCCTATCAGTACTTAGGTGCCATGCCACCCGAAGAACTAAAAAGGACTGCGATCCTGACAGGTTACCAGCGTCAAGAAAGGGGCAGTCTAGATCCCTTGGTTGGATTTAAACCCGATCTTTCGATCAGTAAACTTGCACCCGAGCACTCGAGTCGTCTTGGAATCCGGGCTAAGCAGACTGATCTGGTTGTGGCCTACCATTTTAAGTGTACTAATCCAGCACATTATGGTTGCGGATTATGAGTTCTACCAGAACTAAGTGGCGAAATGCGCTCTTCGTTTACAATATATGTAAACGAATATTTAAACAATTCATGGAACGTTGGTTGTGCATCAACTCTACACAAATTTGAAAATCGTGCATAGTAGCAGTTAGAGAGCTATCCAATGGAAATTATATTAATCATGACAAGTAACTAGAAGAGGTTGTAAGATCACTCTCATGAATTTTTTCTCAACTTTAGGAAAAGTGTATTTGCATCGCAACCTATGTTTCAAATGTCACTTTCGGCCTGGTTATGAGGTCTAAACTGACTTGAATCAATTCAGATTCCCGCATTTTAGTGCAGCTTGCGGCCAAACGATACAAATCCATGAGCAAATGTTTCATTGTGTAAGACACCATCAGAGATATCATGTGCAGCTAGGCAGTTTATTCGAATCAATTATCTTGATGTCATACAGGAGAAGTTACCACTCCATTTTCATCATCAGCAAACCCCAATTTTACTGAAATCATTCAGGACGGAAGTCTTTTTCTTCCTTCTAACGCCTGATAGTTTTACCCATGCAAATGACAGTTCTGATCATCATCAGCGATAGCGGAAACCAGCACCTGGCATCCCAACTTCCTACCGCAAATGCGGAAAGCGTACCATGAGATATATTGATTGAAAACCCAAAAATATTTTTTTAAAGCATGTTGTTCATATCTTCATTAGGAAATAGAATTGGTGTGCAGGTGAGTAATCATCCTTACTAGCTATGTGTGCTCGCATTTCAGCCACCAACCTGCTGTGAAACCGCCGTTCACAAAGGGGATACTACCGCACGGAGATGCAAGTACAACACATGAGATTAGAGTGTGGAATAAAGCTAAGCCAGCATGACACCATTCTATATTTCTCGATAATTTTCACACATATAGAAGCAAGTGAATTCCAAAGATAAAGACAAACGCAAGTGTGGCTCAACTTAATCCTATCCAAATTAAAAGTATGAGAAAACCAGCGGGTTCC